GAAGATAAAATAAACAAGTTCCTTAATGCAGTGCAACCCACAATCATAGTCAAGCTTAATTTAACCTTGTTGAAAGAGCAACTTTAAAAACCAAACACTTTTTTTCCCCTGAAAAAGACTTATCTGCAATACAGCTCTACAAAAGCTCCATGGAGAATGTAGATGTATATAGAAGTTTCCTTAAAGGAAATTAGTAACTACTAATTTCTAACTAGTAACTAGTAATCATTAGGAAATGATTTTTTACGTGCTGATCTGTTAATTAAGAATTATAATTGTTTTTCTGCATATTAAATGAACAAGAAATTGTGTGTTAAATGGTCATTTATCATTGGAATTGACAGTTCTGTTAAGTACCATCTTCGTATTAAGAATTTTCCTGTAATCATGCTGGGAAAAATATTTCTTAAACACTTAAGGCTTATGTACTGCTTGTTAGTAACTGTACATATTAGAAGCAAATTATTTTATAAAAAACTTGAAAGAGTGGGTATACTTGGACATTTTTAATTGAGCATGCATTATAAGTAGGGCTTGCTTTCTTCTATTACCCTGTTTTGTATGCAGTCTGTGTTTGAAAATAGAGACTCCAGTGTGATTCAGCAGCTTTTTTTTTTTTCCAACTGCTTCTCTAGCCATATTAAAATGTCTAACGGGATAGAAAACAAACAGAAGAAAAGGCCTATTTCTTAAAGGAACTGCATTCTTCTGTAAGATATATTTTTGTGAAGTTAATGCCAATCATAAAATATAATGATGCTAACTCAGTATGTCAAGACATTTTATTACTCATGTTCTTGTTATTTACTAAGGCTTTGTCTAACATGGACCAGTTAGGGCTGTGAACTATTGCATGACTAGGAAGCACAAAAGGCACTTTGCACCATCCTGTTGTTCTAGTGCACTCAAGAACACCTACCTTCAAGATTCCAGTCTGAATGTATGCAGTAAATACCTAGCAAAGTAAAGAAAGCGTTGCATAAACTTTAATCACCATTATCTGTGCTGACAAGGTCTCAGGTTCTGAATATTTTCATGACCACAGATTACCTCAGCAGAGTTTAAAAGAGATACAATGGGAAAAATCAATCTGTCCCAAGATTACAGTGAAAATATAATCTGCAGCTGCCTCTTATACGTCACTTATAAGAAGCTAAAGTACTTGAATAAATATCTGTAATTTATATAGCCAAGATTTTAACTTAACTGGGTTAGAAAGGTAGCATCTTCTAGGATTCATAAGTTCCCTTTAATAATGTGTTCAAACATTATTTTTTTTAAACTCTATTTCAAAACTCATTCTAGTGAAAGCAGAAGGCAAGATAGCAACCACAGTGTCACCTTAATCTGGCATCAGAGCATCACAAAAGTTACACAAAAGTTGCATCGCTACCAACACCAAACCAAAATAGAGGCAATCTAGTTCCATCTACAATTTACTTCCCTTTTTAGGAATTACAGTAGTATTACTGCAAATAGAATTGCAATATTACCTAAAGCACATGCACGTCGGCATATATAAAAATGAACATCTCAAAGCTATTAACATTAGATAGTTAATAACCAGTTAGTTTCTGGTATTCAAATTATTGGGCTTTGCTTATGTCACATCACCTCATCTTGACCTGTCTGACAATCATTCATTTAATGCAGACTAAAGAACTATAATTAACCACATCATCACAACCCTATTTTGGGTTGTGCAAGTGTATAGGTAAGCAGTTTTTGTCAGCACAGCTACGGTAGTCACAAATTATACTACAGATGCCATCATTGTGTTTGTAAAGGCTTGTAACGGACACATAGTCAGACCTTCCAGCTTCTCAACAATCCTTTTTTGGCAGTCACTCTGACATTAAAAGCTTCATCTTTGACGATTCAGATTTCAGCTTTACTGCCATGCATTAAATATGTTATTTTTTTTTCTCCCTGTGCAAATTCTCCAGCAATGAAGGCTGTAAATGAAAAAGTAATTGCAACAAAATGATTTTAGAAAGTCTACTTTCACAAAAACAAACAAACAAACAACCCACACTATATACTAAAAGCAATTTTATCCTTTAAGGATAATGTGCTCCATACAGTAAAAGCAATAAGAATGCCAGTCTTTGCACATCAAATAAGCAGCTCAACGGAATTCAAGTCTACTGTTACTGACAAAAACAATTTACACTAAATCATTTTCCATTTAATTTATGCCAGCCACGAACTTTTTTGATTGCAATCAACATACATGCTACATCAATTCAACTCAGATGCATTCTTTGTTTTTTGTTCAGCTTTCTAGCTGTTCTGATAGAATGCCTTCAAAGAACTTGAATAAGACAATTATAAATTGTGCTAAATGTCCTTTTCCTCAGTACTTACATCTCTGTCTAATCTATACAGCTTTCGTTACAGATAGAAGAGGAGCAGTGATCACGTTAAAGTACAGAAGTTGTATTCACAAAGGCAAGAAAATTTATAATTAAGGTTGAAGCTTTCTATTCATTCCGTTCTCCCTAGATACTACAGTTTCCAGAGCCTAAAAAGTTACCCACCATCTGAAGACTCAAATTGCGTCACAAGACTCAGAGACTGAGAACAATCTCAGTCTGGATTCCTTATTCTCAGAACTGTACTTGAAACGCTATCAATAGTAGTTGCTCATGTGACACTAAGATTTGCTTTACAGTGAACCATTTTCCTATTCACAGCATCCAAAATAGCCTTCTGCACGAATAACAGCTTTAAATTCTCACTTCTAAGACAAGTTTCTAGATGCTAGCTAACACCTTTACCTCAAAAATAACTACCCAAGAAACCTTGAACATACACTACCTGCAAATGCAAGTTATGATTAATGTGCAGTTTAGCTGCAGTATTATTATAAGAAGATGTTTCAAATTAACAACAATAATTCAGTAATCTGCACGTGAAGGATTATATAATTTAATATGCATCACAGAACATACGAAGAAAGTTGATTTTAAAGCATATTTTTTACATTTTTTCAGTGAGACAGCTAAAAAATTTTATTTGAACTACTGACATTAAGGGGATATTATCCATACCAACTGTCAAGGAGAAAGTCATCAATATTCACGAGTGAAATAATCAATTTCAGCACTTGAATTATTCTAAATGATAATAACAGATGGAACCTGTTTAAAAGAACTACCCTTAAGTTTTATTCAAGGGTTAAGTGTACTACTCACATAGTTTGGAGAAAAAGTCAGGTTCAAGACATCCAAAAAACAAATATGAGAGAATGACTATAATAAATTAAATGATAAAGATAACCTTCCTGAAATATCCTGAACAAAGATATTCCATTCCTTTCAAGACTGTCCAGAAATAGAAACTAGCTTCCTAAAATACATCAAAGCTGAGACTATTCTGATGAACTGATTTAGGTCTTTTTAACAACTTCTAGATAATTAATCCAAAGTGGCAGCCAAAGGAAGACAACAGCCATGAAATACCAATATCAAGAGAGAGCTGGTATGAAAATAAAGGGGGGAAATGTTTCATCTGTTAGTCTATCTGGATTTATCTTTTTTTTTTTTAAAAAATATTTTTATTTATTTATTTTTATTTAAACACAACATCTCATGGGTACCAGAGATCCAGTTTTTATTCTTAGTCAAGACTAACAAGCTAAACACTAGTGCAGTTCCGTAAGCACAAGCTTCCTGATCAAAACTATTTTCCATCCAGGGAAACTGACAGTGAGCGGAGGTCTTTGGAAGATGACACAGTTCACAACAATTTTACCTATCCATTATTAAGCCCAGCAGATGCATCAAATGTTTTCAAAAAGTACTCTACCACACATTTGCTTTCAAAAAAAAAAAAAAGTTTATGTAAGTTACATTTAACCACACTTAAACAATGTCTATATAGGAAATCAGTCTTAAATACAAAGTAAAAGCACACTTCCACTCTTTTTCTGAAGTTCAAAAGCAGTTTTACATTTTAATTATATGTTTTCCTCAAGGTGTCATTATAGAACCATTAAAAACCTCTCCATGGCTAAATTATAAGGAAGATTAATTATAGTATTGCTTTTCCAATTATTAAGTATAAATATTCCAAACTGCATTTGTACATATGACATTTTATCATGAGGAAGAAAAGTTTTTTTGAGGAAAGAGTACCAAGATATTAATGAAATAATCCATGAATAAAGGACACCTACCTTCTCTTCCGTTGCATATTTCCCCAAAGAAAACCCAGTCTAAGAACAGAAACTCTTTGCTAAAAGTAATACTTAAAAATAGTTTCAAAGTGTATCCAGCAAATAACAATACATCTGTGTCACATTTTTCCCCCCTTCTACAGGCAACAACTTTCCATTCTTATTTTTAGTCACTAATGTTTTCTTCAGAACCACTTTGTTTTGCTGACAAGTGTGTCCCCTCCCCTAATGGAAAAATGTGTAATCTATTGTTCATTCAAGCCATTTTGTTTCTAACAATGACGAAGTACCTACTTTATGTCATGCTCTACTGTGTGACTAATGAGAACATAACATTTGAGCTGTACATTTGTATTCTTAGAAGCCTCAAATTAGCACAATTTTTAATATAACAATAATCTTATTAGCATAACTTCTCTGCTTTTGAATAATAATGTGCTCAAATAAATTTAAATGGTTTAAGTTATAGACTTCGTAGACCATAAAAACTATTAAAGAGATCAACCTAGTCCATTCTTGATCCAAAATTACAGCACGTTAGAGTCACCCTTACTATGGTTTGAATACTGTCCTTAATAAGCTAACCTAATGATTTCTAATTTGCTCTTTCCCATTACTTTGCAGTTTTGTGACCTCCATATTACTCTGTCACAATAATTAATTTTGTATACATGGCAGCTGACAGTAAAGAACTACATAGATATTTTTCATTTAGGGAAGTTTGTTGAAGGCACTCACAAATGGGCCATGACTGCAGGCAGCCCCCCAGCCTGTGAACCACCCTGTCTCTAGCTGTCCATCTTCTTCACTTAGCACCCACCTTCTACCTCCACAGGGACCTTCTTCCTCATCTGAGGGGTGGGCAGTATTCTCCTCAGAAGACTTGCAGGAACTCCTCATTCTCTTCTAAACCAGGAGCTCCTAAAGAAGGAGACTGAAATAAGGCCACCCTAAACCTCTGTGATGTTCCTATACTTGAGGAAAAGCATGTTCCTCTCCCAAATTTTTCCTGAAGCAGCCCCTAAAAAGTCACCACAGCCCTGAAAAGGGGGAAACAGTAAACAGCTGACAAAAGGGAGTAAGGAAAACAGGACCTTTTCATACCACTTCCTCAGGACAGTAGCAGCACTACAGTGCACTACAGTGGAGGAGGAAGCACGAGGGCAGCTTCCCTCCATCACAGCCTCCCTCCCTGCCCCACTCTCTTTCTCCTCAGCCGACAGCAGCCATGAGGGCAACTCTTCACCTGAGGCAGGCATAGCATGGAGGGTTGCTATTTCCCCCTCAGTGCAACCACCCAGGTTCCATCTCAAAGAGGGGGGCTGCTAGAAGCGTCAGCACAGCTCAGCACTGGCCACAGGCACCAAGCCCTTCCAGGTATTTTCTTCGGCTTTGCTGAAGCAACATTTCTCAAAATGGAGGGTGGCCCACACGAGACCCTGCTGCGTCTCACACTTTCCCACCCACCTCAGGTGGGGCCCCATGAGAGCCACACTAATTCCCTTTAGTCTGCTCTTTCTTGTAAAGAATATCTTGCTGCTATATTTCTTCTAAAATAAACATAGTAATAGATCTGGTGGGCTTTTTATTCTCCTTGGGTTGTGGTTTGGTCTTATGTTGCTCCACAAAGCAAGCAAGAGGTCTGGAGCTTGCTTCATCCACAGCAGCTGTTTCTGCTTGCTCAACTGAAACAGGTGAAATGACTTGGAAAGAGTAGCATTAAAGAAATACGTTAGAGGATCTGTATATAAAAGTGCTGATCTTTTGTTTGTCTGATGTCAGCCAGGCAGATGACCACAGAAGTAACCAATTATGTATGTAAAGGGCCGTTTATATTTTGACTGAATAGGATATATATGCAAATGAAGTTTTTTGAACTTTGGGGACAGCTAGTAATGGAAAAGTCTAAAACTGAAAACTGATGTAGCAGAAAAATGGACTTGAGCTTCCTGAATAAATCTGAACAAGTTTTACCAGGGCTGCTACAGGCTGCTTCCCTGCAGGCTGCTTGTGCTGTGATCCCTATCTGGGCACAGGACAACAGCACCAGCTGCACTTTCCACCCACCTGAGGCCCTGCCTTGCCTCTGCTGACATGCAGGTGTAGGAGGCCATGGCCTGTTCTCCCACGTGACTGGTGACAGGACGAGGGGGAATGGGCTTAAGTTGCGCCAGGGGAGTTTTAGGTTGGATCTTAGGAAGAATTTCTTTACTGAAAGGGTTGTTAGACACTGGAACAGGCTGCCCAGGGAAGTGGTGGAGTCACCATCCCTGGAGGTCTTTAAAAGACGTTTAGATGTAGAGCTTAGGGATATGGTTTAGTGGGGACTGTTAGCGTTAGGTCAGAGGTTGGACTCGATGATCTTGAGGTCTCTTCCAACCTAGAAATTCTGTGATTCTGTGACTAGTCTCCTTCCTATTCTCCTGCAGTTTGCAGCACTAAGCCCATCTGCAAAGTTATTTTCTAGTTTCTCAGGCATTCAGACCCTACCAATCTCCTGCTACCCACCCACATGGGCAGCCCCTCATGCAGTCTGTCTCGTCAGTTTGCCTGAGCCAGTATCCTCCACCTCCAAGCATGTTCATTTTCCCTAAGCCCCAGCTTCTGCCTGAGTTGTGGAGATTCCCTAGGTACAGTTCTTGTATTCTCATTACTATGTACATACGTGGTATTTTACTTGTCCTGATGATAAGATGATTTTTTTTAGATGTATAAATATGTAAATCTCAGTAGATAGCTTGCAGAAGGTGTTTTACAGAAAACTGTAGAAATTGATGGCGATATTCTAGCTGCAATAAAATGAAAGCTATTTCTGCTAGTAATAGAAAAGAGGTTTGTTTGTCTAGCATTGCAACAACTACTGCTTCATTTAGCTTGAATAATTCTAGCAACAACATAACCTCATGAGTAGTTAAAAATCTTGACTTTTCCCCCTTCTTATAAGTTAAGCAAAAGTTTTGTGCTGACAAAATCATAAATGTTAACAAAATGCAACATTTTGTAAAATGTAAAATTATTTAAATATGCTGTTTATTTATATATTCCTTCTGATCAAGACTTGGTGAATGTACTTTCCTTCAATTACAAAAAGACTGTACATGCCCTTCATTATTATAAAATCACTGAAGAGAGAAAAACTAACCTATGTCTCCTGGATGCTAGAGCAAAGTGACTTTATTTTTAATATACTTTCACTTGTCAGATTATTCCTTCTAACAGACTGGTTGGAAAAAATCATTATGGGACACCAGTGCTGTTCATGAGTAACCATTAAGTAGCGTGCACATATCTCATAGTCATATAACAGTCTGCAGTTATGCAAAGCAAATGTATTGACTACATGAGTGTAGTGGGTTTATGTGGCAAGGTTTTGGTAGCAGGGGACCATAGTGGTGGCTTCTGTGAGAAGAATGTAGAAGCTGTCCCACTGCTGACCAGAGCCGAGCCAATAAGTGATGTTGTTTGCACCTCTGTGAGAGCATATTTAAGACGGAAAATTATGCTTTCCTCCAATTATACTTTATGTAATTTTTATTCATACAGCAAGGAAAAATACAAAGAATATTCTAGGTTTTATTCTTAAGTCCTTGTAATAGTAGTATTTGGAGATTCCAATTACTACAAGAACTTAAGGTAAACTGCAAGTGAAGATCATGAATTTAGAAATATTGATTCTTCAACAAATACAGGGAAAAATCTAATTCCCTCACGTATAAGTACTACTTTGCTTCAGCTAGTATCTTCAACTTAGTAGAAATAAATGTGGTCTGTGGCAATGTTTGAAGCAAACATACACTTTGATTCATTTATGGTAAGGGGCAAACGTTGAAGAAGAGCATCCTTCAAAGTAAATAGCTTTTCCTTCCACAGTATTAGTAATTTATTTCTTTGTCCAGAATAATTTTAGTGGAGAAAAAAATAAAGAAATTAACAAACAAAAACTAGTATCTTTTCCATACGCAGGTCATTAACTTTTACTTACAATTTCATTTATTCTTACCTTGTTGCTATTCTAGACTCCTTATACTCTGACCTTTCTTCTGACTTTTTTTTTTTTCAAAATCATGTATTTTAAAAAGGCATAAAGCTTCTTCTGACAATTCTTGGACGAATGCTTTTTCACAAAAGGGAATTGAATGAGTTCCAAAGTGTGGGCTGTGAATTTGGTTTTTGCTTAGGTGAGCAGTTGTAGTAGTGGAAAGTGCTATTGGCTCTCTAGGCTAGAAAATTGAAGAGTGCTCGTTCTGAATTTGCTAAACTTCAAATCTCTAATTCATGTGAGGAAGCCTTCATTATGTTTTCCCAGGGTGATTCAAGTCATTTGGATAAAAAGTATGCCTGCTGTGCTTTAGATTACGTTGGAGGAACTCTTCAATTGAGAAAGAGGTTTTAAATTCAAGACCTACCTCTCACAGCCTGTGATGCATGTCTCAACTTAAGATAATGAAACCAACCTGTTCTAGACAAATTCCATTTAAATAATTAGCAATTCAAAGTTGAGAAAGTTATTTCAGGCTATAAAGTCCATACAACTCTCACATCAACCATTTGTGAATATTTACAGCAAAAATAATATTATTTGATGGTACTAACCAGATAGCCTAGGAAGAATTCATCTGTATATAGTTCTGCAATAGTATTTTGAAGAGTCTGACTGAAATGTTTAGGACTAAAGAAAATATTTTGTATGTGGTAGTCAGATTATATATAAACGGCAATACAACAGTTGTAACTGGAATCTTTAAAGAAAAATATGTGTTCTCTAGAACAGACAAGTAATGAGATAAGTATTCTAACGTACTTGTGCATGCTGATACTATGAAAACCAATCTGTGAGGTAACTGAAGGATGAGTTTTGTTTGCTTACCTGTAAGCAGTCTAGTTTTCCACTTGAGCAATCTCAATAGAGTAACTGCCTTTAGGAATTAGACATGGAAATTCAGTATGACCTGGAAGGAAAGCAGTAATATTTTGTCTCCAGAATGTGGACTTAATCCTAAACATGCTTGAGTGACAGCATATGCTAACACCTTGAAGAACTCGATTTGATATGGATATATGTGTCTGTGAGAGAAAATAAAAAGGGTTTTTTTTAGATATGTGAATGGAAAAAGGAGAACTAAAGAATACATAGGGCCGCTCCTTGATAGGGAAGGTCTTCTCACAGACTGATGACATAGGCAAAGCAGAGACGCTTAACACCTTCTTTGCCTCTGTCTTCAATGCCGATGATGGGCTTCGGGACCCAGGGTGCCCTGAGCTGGAGGACCGGGATGGTGGGGATGACAAACTCCCAACCGACCCTGAACGTGTGCGGGATCTGCTACTCCACCTGGATCCCTACAAGTCCATGGGTCCGGATGGGATTCATCCCTGGGTGCTGAAAGAGCTGGCGGACGTCATCGCGGAACCTCTCTCAATTATTTTTCAACGATCCTGGGAATCTGGAGAGGTCCCGGTAGACTGGAAGCTGGCAAATGTTGTGCCGATTTTCAAGAAGGGTCAGAAAGAAGACCCTAGCAATTACAGGCCTGTCAGTCTCACGTCAGTGCCTGGTAAAATCATGGAGAAGATGGTTCTCGAACATATTGAGGCGCACCTGGGGGACAAAGCAGTCATTGGTCCCAGCCAGCATGGGTTTGTGAAGGGTAGGTCCTGCCTAACTAACCTGATTTCCTTTTATGATAAGATCACCCGTATGGTGGACCAAGGGAAACCAGCTGATGTGATTTTTTTGGACTTCAGCAAGGCTTTTGACACGGTTTCCCATAGGATCCTACTGGACAAAATGTCCAGCATACAGCTAAATAAAAACATCATACGATGGGTGAGCAATTGGCTAACGGGCAGGGCCCAAAGGGTTATGGTGAATGGCGCTGCGTCAGGCTGGCGGGCGGTCACCAGTGGGGTCCCTCAAGGCTCCATTTTAGGGCCGGTACTTTTCAATATTTTTATAAACGATCTGGATGTAGGAATAGAAGGTATTTTGAGCAAGTTTGCTGATGACACCAAACTTGGAGGAGTTGTGGACTCTGAATGAGGGTGGAAAGGCCTTGCAGAGGGATCTGGATAGGTTGGAGAGCTGGGCGATCGCCAACCGCATGAAGTTCAATAAGAGCAAGTGCCGGGTCCTGCACCTGGGACGGGGAAACCCTGGCTGCACGTACAGACTGGGCGATGAGACGCTGGAGAGCAGCCTAGAAGAGAGGGATCTGGGGGTCGTGGTAGACAAGCAAGTTGAATATGAGCCAGCAGTGTGCCCTGGCAGCCAGGAGGGCCAACCGTGTCCTGGGGTGCATCAAGCACGGCATCGCTAGTAGGTCGAGGGAGGTGATTGTCCCGCTCTACTCTGCGCTGGTGCGGCCTCACCTCGAGTACTGTGTGCAGTTCTGGGCACCACAGTATAAAAAGGACATGAAACTGTTGGAGAGTGTCCAGAGGAGGGCTACGAAGATGGTGAAAGGCCTGGAGGGGAAGACGTACGAGGAACGGCTGAGGGCACTGGGCCTGTTCAGCCTGGAGAAGAGGAGGCTGAGGGGAGACCTCATCGCAGTCTACAACTTCCTCGTAAGGGGGTGTCGAGAGGCAGGAGACCTTTTCTCCATTAACACCAGCGA